AACTTAAATCTGGACTTATTAACTCCGTATAACCGAACTTTTTAAACTCATTCATTCTCTTTAGTTTAGTTCAAGTCTGCGTTTATATCTTCAGAACATCAACAATCATTTTTATGCTCCTTACAACAACCTTTAGCAGCTAAGCATGCATGGCATATAACTACATCTCACAAGAAGTTCATGAATCAAAGATCGACTACATAACATACCAACTCATAGCCAAACTAGTCATGCAGCCCGATCGACCAATCAATAATTTCCCTATTCATTAGTTTTAAAACTGATTAAACATCCAAAACTGAAATAGAACTCAATAATGCACATCAACACAATAACTACAAGAAATAACAAAACAACTTGATTACCTCAGCCCCTCGACCTTCTTCCCTTTCCCTCTTTCTCTCTTTTCCTCCCTTCTTAGTTTGATAAAGCCTTAGATTTCCTTTCTCCACCATTTGATTTGATTACCAGATTTAGGGATTAAGATGGTGAAGAGTGATTGTGGTGGTGACGCGTTCGAAGGAGTGAGGAATAGTACTACAGTAGAAGAGTTGGGCGGTGGAGTGGGGAAAGCATAAGGATGGTGAATAATTTTCTAGTGTCTTCAAAGTGCAGAAAATAATTTTTAAATAAGTTGATTCCTATCCTTCTACATTTGACTCGGTTTGGTGAAGTACTAGAAATTGGGTTTTTGGGTTTTAGTAATTATTTAGGCCAGTTCAAGCAGAAGAAATAAAATAGGACGGGATCCTTTGGTTTAATCGGTCTTACAAAGCAACAAAGTGGGATAAAAGGGCCACCCAGGATTAGCATGTAATTATTTAGGCCAGTTCAAGTAGAAGAAATAAAATAGGACGGGATCCTTTGGTTTAATCGGTCTCACAAAGCAACAAAGTGGGATAAAAGGGCCACCCATAGGATTAGCCAAGCGAATAAATTAAAAGTTCCAGTCAAGATATAAATTTGGTTAACCATTTCTTCTAGTTTTAAACTCCTAATTGTAAATTTAGTAACTATTGGACAGTATAAAACACATCAAGATTTGGGTGTCGTCACATTCCTTCTACTCCAACATCGGATTCGAGCAACTATACGGGAGACAAAGTTGTTGACATTCCATTTGAGCCACTTTTTCGGAAACAAGGGAACTCGGATATGATAGCAACTCAAACAAAATCAATGCTTAAACAAGTATCAACTTTGAATATTGAATTAGCCTGAGTATGTTACATGATTATGAAAAATTCGAATACTTACTTGAATACCAGAGACGCAAATTAGGAGAATATTAGACCTCACATGTACCAATTCACGAGTTCAAAGAACCAACTACCCAACTCAATATAACCCTAAAAGTATCAGAACCAAAAGACAACGTTGCTATAGGCGCCACTTTCCAACAAACCACACAAGAAAGATAAATCTTAACGATCGTCACTACTTAAAGCAACAACCAAACAATTTGTTCTACACAAGAACAAAAACTCAGAAAAGTTAAAACCTCAAAAAATCAATTCAACTCAGCTTGTAGAACTCGAGGTGCGGCCCCTCCCTTTTATAGGGGTGGTTGGCCGAATTTCAAAGAGAAGAAATAGGACACTTTTCCTAATTCTACGAATTCAACATCAAATTGGACTTTTTGACTCCTAGTTTTTTTTATGACAAAGAAAATGAATCTAAACTCTTTCATAGACCTAATACATTATATCTAAGTTTGAATTAAAAGTAAAACTCCTATTACTAAGGAGATATTCTCAGAAAGACGCTTCCTCCCACGCGTCCAATGCTTGGTGACGAAGTAATCTTCTTTCTTGAGCTCCACTCAACCAATATCTGCCTTGTAGAATATTTATTTGCCAAAAATAAATTACTTAACTAAGAAGGTGACCGAAATCCTTCCCTATGATGTAGGAGTGGAAAGAAGCTTGTCAACCTTAACCCTTAAGCTAGGGTTAGGGCGCACGTGACACCATATGTGCAGCCATGGGCTCTTGGCTCTTTGACGGGTCTTGAATTGTGCTTCCATCTAGGTCCATGAGTTCATTTAATGTCACTTGCAGCACATTAACAATTTTGGGCTTGTATCCATCACACTTAATCATCTCCTTAGCCTATGTAGACAAAACTAGATTGTTCAGAGCAGTGTTCATAGTCTTGGATCTCGAACGAGTGATTGGGCCAACTATGTTAGATAGTAGATCCGTAATATAAGGATTCTTCACAATTTGTTTATCACTAACATTCACAACTTTCACAAGCTCATCTTCTCTAGCATGATCTTTCTCAAGTTCTTCACTAGCTCGATGGTCTCCATCAAAATATTTCATTGGAAATACTCCTTGTCTAAAACTAGTTAGATCATCTATTTGCAATCTTAGCCTTTCAGTAACTCCACCATAATACACATTAGACTTGCCCACATTAGCTCTAAGTCCAAAGGTTTCCAAAAAGTCTTTAAATTTTGCCATGATACTTTTCACAATAAACAGATCAGCTTTACAAAAAAAAACCATCAAATCATCAACAAAGCATATATTTGTCATCTTCAAGGATTCACATTTGGGATGAAATCTGAATTTAGGTTTTCGGCGGCTACCTTCAACTGTCTAATAAAATACTCCATTACAAGGACAAATATGAATGGTGAAACAAGGTCTCCTTGCCTAATTCCCCCTTTTCCTTGAATGCAGACAACATTAAATACCATTTAAACAGAGAGAAAATGGTGTCGTAGTAATAAAGACCATTATCCATTTTACATATTTTTCAGGGAAGCCATACCCGATCATATACTCTTCCATAAACTTCCATTCTACGAAATCATAGGCTTTTTGCAAATCAATTTCCATTAGGCATCTTTCACTAATGTTCTATCTATCATACAATCTAATAAGCTCTTGCATAATAAAGATATTGAGAAAAATAAGCCTATCTTTTACGAAGGCGCTTTGGTTCTGATCTACTAGTTTAGGCAATACTAAGAATAACCTTTCACATAATATTTTCGAAATACATTTACACAAAACATTACAGTATGATATATGCATGTATTGACTAGCATAAGATGGGTTCTATACTTTTGGTATTAATGCAATAAGTGTAGAATTAATTTGTCGTAGCATCTGACCTTTTTCGAAGAACTCCATCATAGCATTCGTAACCTCCTGCTCCACTATTGGCCATGAGCTTTGAAAAAATCACTCCCATAACCATCAGGTCCCGGGCTTTTGTTCCTGGAATGCTCCACATTGCTTGCTAGATTTCTTTCTATATAATAGGTCTGATCAGCTCTATTTGGTCTTCCAATTGGAGCCTTGGTCCCATCTTAAACACATCTCTGTCACATGTTTTCTTGCAAGAATCTTGACCCAACAATTTCTAGTAAAATTGCAAGAAATGATCCTCAATTTTATCCCAGTCCCTTACCACAGTTCCAGTTTCATCAGTGGAAATATGCAGTCCCTTGGTCCCATCTTAAACACATCTCCATATTATATTTCTTGTCATTTTTTTTTCCTGAGTTTAGAGTGGAAATATGCAGTGTTTGCATCCCCCTCTTGTAGCTTTGCCATTATTCTGTCTTCACCCAACCGAATATTGCACCAGGTAAAATTAGAGTCAATCTGTGTCATATCTTCTAACCCACATTCTTCGACACACATCCGAAAATGTTCCACTTCTCTCAGCTGTGGCACTCTACCTCCCATTTTCTCATGCTGAGCCAAGCTATTGTTATACTCGCCTATTACAATCCAAGGTCCATGAATTATAGCCATCAGGCCATCCCATAACTCAGCTCTTTCCTGCTCAGTATTCGACGCATAAACTCCAGTAAAATAAAAACCAAAGTCCAATTGCAAAGAGTCAACTTTACAATGGATCATCTGATCTATGAAACTAATAACTTGGACATCCAATGCATCAGTCCAAAGAATAGTAGTATCATAACTAGTATAATTCTTCTAGGTTCCCCACCGCCTCTGTAAAATTCCTTCTCTTTTATCTCTATTAATCTTTGTCTCTATAATGCATACCATTTCTACTTTATTTGCGGAGAGGACTCTATATAGTTCCTTCTGCTTTAAAGGGGCGTTCAAGCCCCTTAAATTCTAAGTTAGGAGGTTACTCATTGATCCCTGGATCAGGGTCAAGAGTATCTGTGTGTTTCTCTCCTTCATCATTTCTTGTTTCAAACTCATTGGATGTTTCCTCTCTGCTTATTATTTTCTCCCACATTTCCTATTTTTTTAGTATACCATCATCTTCGCTCATCCTTTCCATATCTGCTTTGCTTGATAGCCTCCACCATAGGTTTTGGCTTTCGCTTCTGTGGTTGCTTATCTGGTTGCTTCTGTCTTTTCCTTGTTGTTCCTTGCCCTTTTGTTGTACCTGATTCTTTGGATCTAATTGGCACTTCTCAATAAGATGGCCATAACCTTTGCAACATTCATACTGAACAGGAAGGCACTCATATACAATACTTTACTCTTTAATAGTGTCCATCTCATGTATGAAGTACATCTTATCTTTAACTAACTTTCCAATTTTCCATTTTCGCAAGCAACTGAGCATAATTCACTCTTTCTCTATGAGTTGTGGTTTCACCAGTTATTATTGGAATACGAGTTGTAGGTAAATATTTTTCTGCATCAAGGATTTTCGAATGCACATCTACGGTGAGTTTCTTCGTCAATCTTGATTAATGATTTAATGCTTGATTAATAAAATACATTAATAATGCATGAAAATACTTTTAGTGTGACACAATTCAATTTAGTGTTTTTATTATTATTTTTATTATATTCAATTTTATACATAATTTATTTATCCGGCACATCATGTGGCTATTAATCTAGTTACTTTTTCATTCATATCTTTGGCGAGAATTATAATGATCAAACGGTTAAAACTCATACATTAACGATCCATGCTCGTAATAACAGTAGTAATAACTTTATAATAACTTCAATATCTTCCTCACTACCAGACTAACGAGTACCAATCCAAATCACTCCAAAAAGCACCTCTCCCTCAAGAGATTCCTTTCTCTACTATAAAACCACGATTTTACACACACTGACACAGTGACTAGTTTATTAAACAAAAATATGGCAACTTCACTTCTCCTTTCAAATTCTCTTCATCCATTCCCTTATTTTCACAAATCGAAGTTCAATCTTGGCAAAGGAGTTGAAAAGTTCCCGTATTCCAATAAGCCCACTATAGTTAGACCTTTTAAAATCGTGGTTCTTGACACCCCAACTGGCCTGGTGTCTTATTTGAACTCCGGAAAGGTTCGGTTGTTGGCCGTGGGGCAGAAAACGGAGAAAAATGATACCCTGGTTGGAGAAGATTCCGCGGAATTCGACCTGTCTAAACAAAGAATTTCTTCTTGGGTTTACTTCGCTGGTGTTTTAGGAGTTGTTCTTTTTATCCTCAACGTTGTCTGGATCGATAATTCAACTGGGTTCGGTAAAGATTTCATCAGTGCAGTTTCTAGCCTTTCCCAAAGCCACGAGGTATGTATTTAATGACGCTTTGGTATTTGTGTGTTTTTTTTTTTTTTTGTTGAAGTTCCCTTTAAATTAGTGAGGTTGAGCTTAAGTCGGAATAGTTTGCGCTTAATTTTCATTGTTTCTGATATTCGATAGCTCAATGCCTAATAGAATGAAATTTGAAAGACATAAGCCTGGATTATGTTTTCCTTTCGGTTTTGAGTTGGGATTGTTAATGAAAATGTAAACGTGGGGGTTTCAGAGTGCCAAAGGCACATTGTTGAAACGAGACCAAAACAATTATCGAATTCACGCCCCAAAAGACATAGCGGATTATTACTCTGGTCCACTATTAAGTTTATTGTAGCTGTCAGGATAATTTATAGTTGATTATGGATAGAATAATTGGCGTTCTAATTAAGAAACCACAATTTAGGGAAGAGGAAGTGAAAAAAGAAACAAATACTTTATAAATTTGAGGTTGTGTTAGAAGACAGGTCTGAAAATCGCTATCACTATCTTTTTGCAGGTTGTAATGCTTACTCTGACTTTCATTTTTGCGTTAGTCCATAGTGGCTTGGCAAGTCTCAGAGACAAAGGTGAGAAGCTCATGGGGGAACGTGCTTACCGTGTCTTATTTGCCGGAGTGTCTCTTCCATTGGCTGTTAGTACTGTTGTAAGTTTCCAACCTCAAAACATTCTCTTAAATGTAGTTCAGAACTGATAGTCTCTAGTGATTCTTTTCTATATCACGGTATAATGTTAATATGGTTTTGTAAACTTTTTAATCGGAATTTGGCTGATTGTGACCAGGTGTACTTTATTAACCACAGATATGATGGCGTCCAGTTATGGGAGCTACAGAATGTTCCGTGGCTACATCATGTTTTGTGGCTCACAAACTTTATTTCCTTCTTTTTCCTTTATCCGTCAACCTTCAATTTATTAGAGGTAGCTGCTGTGGACAAACCGAAAATGCATCTCTGGGAAACGGGGATAATGAGAATTACAAGGCATCCGCAGGTATGACCTTTTGTAACTTGTGCTGGGAAGCTTTTATTTATCAGTATTTCCATGGTGAAATGAACTTGTTCCAGTACTGTATCGGCTGTTTGGGTATGTAAAGTACATATCTTTGCAGTTTCTGAACTGTGGTAGTCAGCAGAGAAAAGAGAAGAGGTCCAGTTTGACTTTTTTGATTGTTTATCTTCATTCTAACTTTGACTTTTGATTGTTTATCTTCATTCTAGCTTTATTAGTGTCACATTCAGCATTTGCTTACGAAGTAACTTATGGAAGGCTCTCAGGAAAAGTATAATCATAGCACAAAATCAATGCACTTTGTTAATGAAATGTTTTAACTATATTAGAGCAAGCTAAATTTGAGGAAACTCTTAACAATGATTCATTGAATGCAGTCTCAAGTTACATTAAGAGCTTATCGAGTTGTATTCATATGGAGACAATGCTTAATTAGCTACTTTGTTTGCCAGCAAATGTTCAATACATCATTTACAGAGTCAACTGTGACTCAACTAAGAATGAATTTGAATTGAGCTAGCTCTGGATAAACAGAATGTCTGCTAGTGTCCTGGGACATGGTCAATGGATATGAGAAGTGCATGAAAATAAATTGGTTTTAGTCTCTTCTACTATTTAGACAGCTTGATAACAATCACTGATCAGGGTATTTAGGCATAGAACAAATGGCAACTTTTCTTATCTGATGTCCTTTCTTTTCTTTATTTTTTTGGGAAAGTTAAATAGAAATGCCCCTCTTTTCAATCCTTTGGAACTTTGCTATTGACAACAAAATTTGCTAACAAAGATTGTAAATGGTAAATTCCATAATGTTTTTGGGTAACCTTCGAGGCTTCAACAGCAACTGCTGGTGTGCAACATATGATTTGGTGTTGCCATTGTCTGTTTTGTGAATTTGCTATCCAGGGACCACACTTTTGGGCCACAATTAAAATAGCTTCATTTGAACTGCTCTTAGATTTATGCATAAATCACATAGCCATTCTTCATATTCAGAATAAAACATAGCCATTCTTTTTATCCTCTCTCTCTTTTTCTCAATTTGCTTGTTTTGTTTTCCCCTCTCCAGATGGTTGGGCAGGTGATGTGGTGTTTAGCACACACCGTATGGATCGGCAATTCTGTTACGGTGGCAGCTTCTGTCGGTTTGATTGGGCACCACTTATTTGGTGTCTGGAATGGGGATCGACGATTAGCCATTCGTTATGGTGAAGATTTTGAAGTTGTGAAGAGCAGGACAAGCGTGATCCCGTTCGCAGCTATTATTGAAGGTCGTCAAAAATTGCCCAAGGATTATTACAAGGAGTTCATCCGTTTACCATACTTAACAATCACGGCATTAACCCTAGGTGCATACTTTGCTCACCCTCTTATGCAGGCTGCAAGTTATGGCCTTCGATGGTAGTTTGGCATCAAGTTGGTGCACACGTCCAATTGATCTTTTGAAATTTTGTTTATACCTGTTCCCTGATGAAAAGGGCAGAAGTAAAAAATCACAGTTCACAAGATCTACTGTTCTGAAGTGACTTGTAAATTTCAATTTTGATGGAGAATGGGATTGCTGGATCCTCTCTTTCTTGTTGCTACATAGTGGCACTGTCTACAAGGGCAAAAATATTTCATGCATGAAACCTGAGACATTAACATTGGCATGGATGCAACGTTCTGAACAGAAATGTAAAATTTCATTGCGCACATGTATATAAAGTTTTCAACAAATTCAAGAATTTACAAGTAAATGTTTATCTTTTTGTTTTTGTTTTTTTTTCCTCACTTCGATGGATGGGGATACTTGATCAAGGGAATTAAAGTTATTCTATGCCTAGGACTTGAATCAAAAGTTCAATAATCTCTTCCAGGCTCTGTTCGTGATTTTTTTTTTCTTTCTTTTTTGACCACCTTGCTCTAGCTCCATATATACAAATTACATATATTCAATTTTCTGCGCCTCAATCAGAACCTTTCAAACTTCAAAGCCTTATTACTAGGCATCTGGCTTATATTCATGATTTGTTTAGCTTTCACGAAAAACGATTTTGGAAGTAGCACAGAAAGATTCAGATAACGTCAATTCTGGATATACTTCTGGCCTTTTTGGGTTCGTGGGCGCCCCTAGAAGGGATCTCGGATTTAATCTATTTCTTCCTTGTTAAATAATTGCCCACTTTCAATTTTTAATTTTAAAATAATTAAAATAAAAAATTGAAAGTGATTTTGATTTTTGAGAGAGAAAATAAATGTCTAAAATAGTTTGTTATGTAATCTCCAAACCTTACTATAATGGAACTTCTACAAATTAATAGTGTCGAGACTTAAAAAAAATTACTTATTTTTGTAAATACTAAAAATCTATACATAATTCACTTCACCTCAAGTGACTAAAAACAAATATTAATAGTTGATATTTTATTTAATATTAATAGTTATTATTATTATATTTTATTTTTAAGATATTTATTAATATATAGTATTGTTAAAACCTATAATTATATAAAAGATTTTCTTAAATATTATTATTTTATTATTTTATCAATTTTCTCATTTGGAAGCCGCTCTACTTGTGTCTTGTTATGAAGAAGACGCATAATTCCTCGGCAGTTTCAACTTTCATCTAAAAATGCAAATTCAGTCCCAAAAATCATTTGGGAAGGAAGGTAATACATTATGCTGGACGTCCTTTTCCGTGTATATATTATAACATAGGATAAAGGCGATTAGTGCGGAATTCGGAAACAGTTTATTACTTAAACCCAATAGTACAGCAACAGAGCCTACAGTGGTCTTCATGTGGGCCAACTCTTGGTTGTAAAGAGGTGCATTATTGCCCGTCAAATAATTAAAATAATTCGCTCTTTTTTAAGTTATTATTCAATTCAATTTTTTATTTTCTTTTTCATATAAACTAGCACTTGTCCCAGTGTAAAAGGGAAAAAACCAAACTTTCCCTGTAACCACCACCGGTGCCGCAACTGCCAAACTAAATCGTTCAAACCAAATCAATCAATGCAATAGTTGAAATTGGCTTATATATTTCGTGAGTCGAAAGTTTTTATTAAAAAAAGAATGAAATCAAAAAAACAAAAGCGAATAAAGGAGAGTAGGATATCAAGTTTAATACCTCCGATAGCGGCGTCGACGACAGATGGTATGACAGTAGCGGTGGCGGCAGCAGCGACAGAGGACGGTGGCATAAAAGGCAGAGGAGAGAATTTGAAGATGGTGACGTAAGAGGCAGATGAGAGAATTTGAGAGATAGAAGAAAAAGATCTACTCTTGTGAATGATTACATTCATTTTATTTATAGAGTAAGAGAAGCGTATTAAAGAAAATTGAATGAATCGTATTAGAGAAAACTAGAGATTTGGAAGATTTGATCTGATATATATCTTCCAAATTTAAATATTTTAAATTTTAAAACGTATTAGAGAAGATAATGATCACATTATTTATTTTTCTCGGAAATAAATAAGGTAAAACATTAAATAATAAAATCCGGATAAATAGAATTACCAAATTACTTTAATCAAACGTGGAGGCAACACGTGTCCCTAAAAAGTATTGATACTCTAACCATCCCGAATTCATTCCTGCGGACCACTCTCCTTTAATATATGCTAGTGTTTATCCCGCACGTTGTGTGGGGTGTTAAAAAATAACATCAATGACATAAATTGTATTCTGTAATTTTTAACGTCAATGTGTTTGTTATTTTAAGTACATAAGAATAATTTTTATTGTAACTTGTTGTTCATCTTTTTCGTTTTGCTGATCTATGGATTTATATCTTTCAAAAGTATTTTCTTAATTTTTCGTCATGATCTCTCTAAATATTTCTACCCATTTCATATTTTTTAAACTCTCCCTCTATCAAATTTTTGTTTCATCTCTCTATACCGTATACAACCTTTCTTTAGAAGTTTGTTTGTTAATTTTTCCTATAGTATAGTGTTTACTTATTATTATTATTTTTTTTTTTTTGAAAAGGAAAACCTTACTTCATTTTTTTTTCCTGCTTGCACAGTCTTTGTTTTTTTTCCCTAAATTTGATGACCTCTCTTTAACACTTCATTCTTGAAAAAAAAAATTTATAATTGTTTCATTTTTACTGTTATCTCGATTTTTTTTTTCATATTTTCTTATTTTCTACATAATTCTTTTATCCATATAATTTTTTTTTTAATTTCTCAAAACCAATAGGCACTACTACTTTTTTTTTTAATTTTATTTTTGCAGTTTTTCTAAAAGTATATTACTATTTAAAAATTTTATAATCGAAGCACTACAAACTAAAATAAAAACCAATACACTAATTAATAATAAAAAAACTGATTAATGGTTACACTTTAATACATAACTATTAAAATCAATATTTATCGGTGAATTGGTTTTTCTCATCATGGCTGTCGGGGAATTTTATTTTGTTTTTCAATTGATTATCTTTGGATTTATTAGTTTGAAGTTTCTTTTTGACTACCTCTCTTTTTTACAATTAAAATTCATCATTAAGGGTAATCTCCTATAGTACTAAAATTTGGCCGCTTAATATATAATGATATTATTAATATTATTATTCTTTTATTATTTTTATTTTGTAATTTTTCCACAACATAATAAAAAATAATCATTTAATAATATTAGTTAAGTGGCAAAAAGTATATTACTATTAAAAAAATTTTACAACCAAAGCACAATACACTAACCAATAAAAAAGAAAAAAAAACCTTATTAATAGTTATACTATAACATATAACCATAAAAATCAATATAAAAAAAACCATAAAAATCAATATTGATCGAATTGGTTGTTCTCATCATGGTTGTGGGGTGTTTTTTTTTTTTAACTTCAAATTACTTTTTTTTTTAATTTTTCATTTCACTTGGTTATCTCTGGATTTATTAGTTTGAATTTTTTTTTAAAAATCAATATTGATCGAATTGGTCTTTCTCATCATGGTTGTGGGGTGTTTTTTTTTTTTTTAATTTTTCATTTCACTTGGTTATCTCTGGATTTATTAGTTTGAAAGGTTTTTTTGGCCACTTCTCTTTTTTTAATGCCGTATTTGCAATTGATAGCAAAAGGAAATAAGTTTACTTTTTTTTTTCCTTTAATTTTTAATTAATTTAGTTTTTTATATATAAATTTATAATTTTACATTAAAAATTATCATTAAATGATGGAGTGACGTAGTTGTGACATGTGGACTTGAGTCTCTAATTTTCCGCCATGTGGATTAACCTATCTAATTTTGCGTCATGTGTATTTTGATTGAAAACTCTCCTTTAATATATACTAGTGTTTGCCCCACACGTTGTGTGGGTTGTTCAAGATATATATAAGTCTAATAAGTTAACGATTATATGACATTTCTAATAGAGTGATATATGTATATATATATATATAATGATATAACTTATAATTGTGTAATTTTTAACGTCAATGTGTTTCGTTATTTTAAGTACATTTGGAATAATTTTCAATTTTTGAAATCATCCATTGTTACGTATTGTTCATGTTTTTTTTTTATTTTCTTGATTCATGGTTTTTATATCATTTAAAAGTATTCTCCTAATTTTTTAAAGTGATCCCTCTAAATATTTTTATTCGTTTCGTATCTTTTAAACACTCCCACTGATAAGAAGTTTTCTCATTATTTTTTTCATAAATTTATCTTTGTTTTTCGTCTCTATATACCTTGTGAATGTTTCCTTAGAAGTTTGTTCATATATTTTTCTATAATATAGTATTTGCATCTTTTTTTTTTCTTGATTGCATGATTTTCACCTTTTTGTATATATTTTAAACGTAATCAACACATAACTAAGTTAATACATATCCAGCAACGAAAAGATATATTATTTGGTAACATTATTTCATTATAAGTTTTTTCTCATATGATTTGATGCCCCTATGGTTTTTTTTTTGTTTTTCATTTGTGTTTTTAATTAGGATTTTTCATTGAGTTATATATTGATACCAATGACAAACCCAATATATGTCTACAGTAAAAAGTTTTTAGGCTCATTTTTTCTATAATGTCGTGGCAATTTGCTTTGTGATTTTATATAAAATTACATGAAAATTTGGCTCGGCAAGGGACATCATTATACGGAAAAAGAACTGTCTAAAAAATTATTTCTTTTGAAGAAAAAAAAGAGAGGAAAAACAAACTTAAAAAAAAAAAAAATCCAAAAGTGGCAGAGTAACGAAGTACATTAGGCTTTTAGCTGGAAATTAGGAGAAATAACAAAGGAGCAAGCGAGAGAAACCATCAACAGTTTCATGATTATAACTTATTATATGGGTATAGTCCCGTATAAACACAAAATAAATTACCTTTATAAGTGAATCATGAATTAAAATATAAAGTTTAATCTTAATCCAATTTTTTTCTTCTATAATGCATATCAGTTAAAGTTCTGATTAACTCCTAATTAATTTAACATTTTGGTTATATATATGGAGTATTAACCTGGTAAAATTAGTTATTATTGATAAATTTTACGAATTTGTAAATAAAAAATTATTATTAAATGATGGATTGATGTGCTTGCGACATGTGGACTTGGGTATCTAATTTTGCGCCACGTGGATTAGCCTATTTAATATCACGATATGTGTCTGATTCAAAACTCTCCTTTAATATATTAAAGATATATATATATATACATATCTATATATATACATATAGGATTGAGTTATAAATATATATATATAGGATTGAGTTATAAGTGAAAATTCTAACTCATAACAATTTTGGGATCTCTCCACTAACGTACTACAAATCCATTTGCTAATTAATACTAATTATTATTACTAATCAATATAAAAAACTGGTCCTGCCGACAGCGTTGCTATTTGCTTCCTTGTGACACTGCCCTAAATCAGCAGCGCAGCTTTTGCGAATTTGAAGAATCTAACGAGTTTCATTAGTGAGGATGGGTTGGGCATTTCTAGTTATTTTCTGTTAGGACAAAAACATAGAGCCGCCACATATGGCTTCAGTTTCAGATGAAGGGCATTCAGGATCTGTTTATCTAAAAACACCGTTGCCTAAAGTAATTTGGATTGGAGTTGTAGCCGCCATTTTCTTCATTATTGCTTCCTCCCACATAATATCTTCTTGGTCAGCTAGGAGTGGCACCAACGTGGATGATTATGTCTATGGTGTCATAAATCGCCTTGACCACTTAGATCCGAACAAATCTACTCATTCAGAGCCGCAAGATTCTGCCAAAATGCCTCCTTTTAGCTCTGAATCAATTGGGAAATTGGAGCAAGAAATTGTTTCTGTAGCTAAAAGACAACATCAGACAGGGATGAAATCTATTCCACTGTCATTAACTTACTCAAGACAGCCCATTTCAGTGGAGTCAAATTCGCCCTTAAGTCCTGTTTGGAATTCGGACGGCCTGGCCGGGATTTTGACCGGCCGTTCATCGGCCGCCGGTGTTGTTCCGGCTCCTTACTCTAGATTGAATAGCGTCATGCCTGCACCACCATTGCCTACCAACTCAAGACAGGACGACAGCTCAGTGAATTCATCGGCAAGATTAGGCTCTGTTCTGAACTCCGGCCGCTTGGAGTCATCAGCCGGTGGTAGTCCGGCAGCGGCACTGTCTAATAAAAAAGGTAGGGGTTATGAAACATTGCTTTTTTGACAAAATATGTTTTCCGATTTATTTTCAGCTTCCACAGCGTATTTCATTGTTAGAACACAAACACACAAATACGCCAAACAAGAACAACAACAGTTCAAGCCTTGCTTTCGGTCCATCTTTTCCGAGTTCCGGATATAAATGTCTTGTGATTAACATATTTTCCATTTTCATGTACCGTAAAAAAATGTGTTGCAGAATGTGACCTTTACCATGGAAAATGGGTTTACGATTCCCGTGGACCATTGTACAAGAATGACTCTTGTCCTGTCTTGACGCAGAAACAGAACTGTCAAGGAAATGGAAGGCCAGACAAAGACTATGAGAACTGGCGGTGGAAACCTAGGGACTGTGAGATTCCCCGATTCGACGCCAGGAAATTCCTTGACTTAATGAAGGGAAAGACATTAGCTTTTGTAGGAGACTCACTCGCTCGGAATCAAATGAAGTCCTTGCTCTGCATTCTTTGGCAGGTTAGTTGTAAGTTGTATTAACTCCAAATGCAGTTAAAATTTTTGTTGTCTCTGATTCTTGATTGGGTTTCCGGCTCAAGCTATTTGTGATTTCATGTAGGAACAATGGCCTATTACCATAATGTTGTTCAATTTTGCATTCTGAGCAGGTTTAATAGCAACAGAGTTCAAACCATTTCAAATTATTTGTGCTTTTCAGGTGGAGGTTCCAACGAGTATTAAAAACAAGAGAATGCAGCGATATGACTTTGCATCAACCTCTACAACGATCATTCGCATATGGTCTGCTTGGCTCGTTAATATAACAACTGATAAATTTGATTTTGCTCCAGATGGATTGGATAAGCTCCACCTTGATGTTCCTGATGAAGGCTTCATGGAATTTATCCCTCAATTTGACGTAACCGTTGTCAACTCAGGTCACTGGTTTTCAAAGAAATCTGCATACATATTGAACAATGAACTAGTCGGGGGAAAATCATGGTGGCCAAAGAAGTCTAGAAAAATGAAAGTTGACAACTCAAAAGCTTTAGGCATGTCAATGGAAACAATTCTTTCTGCCATGGTTACGCATCCAGATTATACTGGTCTAACAGTTGTCCGTACCTACTCACCAGCTCATTATGAAGGGGGATCGTGGAATACAGGAGGATCATGCACAGGGAAACTTCGGCCGCTCAAGAGTGGTGAAATAATTGCAAACAAATTGACCTCCAGAATGTACGATCAACAAGTTAGAGCTTTTAGCCGATCAATTAAGAAGATGACAAACAAATCAAAGCTAAAAATGATGGATATCACAGAAGCATTTGGTTATCGCCATGACGGCCATCCAGGTCCTTACAGAAACACTGATCCAGATAAGATCACGAAACCAGGGCGGGATGGAAAGCCCCCACCTCAAGATTGCGGGCATTGGTGCATGCCTGGTGCGGTTGATACATGGAATGAAATTTTATTTGAAATCATAAAAAGAGAATTTAATGGTAAATACGATGTTCCTTCTTGATGGAAAAGTGATATGTATCTTTCAAAGCTAGATTCTCTTTGTGAATGAGGAAAAAAAATAAAACTATGCAGCAATTAGACATCCATTTTGACAATTAGGTTCAATTTCATATGCTTAAACCTAACTTGCTTATTATATTTTGAGATATTGTGAAGTATTTTGAGTACGTACCCGCTATTTACATGATTTTACGTTTGCATGAAGGGTATTACTCATAGAAACTAATTTATATCAGTAAGGATATAAGGAATGATTTCAAACCCAAATGGAGGCCCTAACCTATGCATATGGCTCCGTAAACCTACATTTACAGTTTCGTACGTCCTAATCTACAAGTATCATTTCATACATCGAAATGGCTCAAAACCTTAATAACCCTTATAAAGGATTTAAGGAATAATTTTAAGCCCAAATGGAGGCGCTAACCCTATGCCTATGGCGCCATAAACTCACATGTACGGTTTCGTATATCCTAATGGCCCCATAATGTATAAGTATCATCTCGTACATCTAAAAGGTCCAAAATCTTAGTAAACCTTATAAGGGATATAAAGAATGATTTCAAGCCCAAATGGAGGCCTTAACCCCATGCCTATGGCTCCATGAACCCACATATACGGTTTCGTACATGCTAATGATCCATAATGTTTAAGTATTATCTCGTATATCAAAATGGATCCAAATTTTAGTAACCCTTATAAGGAATATAAGGAATGATTCAAAGCCCAAATAGAGGCCCACATGTACGGTTTGTACATCCTAATGGCTCATAGTTTACATATATCATCTCGTACATCGGAATGACCTGAAACCTTAGTAACCCTTATAAGGTATATAAGAAATGATTTCAATCACAAATTTACGCCCAAACCCCATGCCTATGGCTCCATAAATCCACATGTACGGTTTCATACATCCTAATGGCCCATGACGTACTAGTATTATCTCGTACATCAGAATGACCAAAAACTATAGTAACCCATATAAGAAATATAATGAATTATTTCAAGTCCAAGTGGAAGCCCTAACCCCATGCCTATGGCTCCATAAATCTACATGTATGGTTTCGTACGTCTTAATAGCCCATAATAGACTAGTATCGACTCGTACATCGGAATTGCTCTAAATCTTAGGAACCCTTATAAGGAATATAAGGAATGATTGCAAGCCCATATTGAAGCACAAACCTCATGCCTATGGCTCCGTAATCTATATTACGGTTTCGTACATCCTAATGGCCCATAACATACAAGTATCATCTTGTACATCCGAAAGGCCCAAAACTTTGCAACCCTTATAAAGATATAAAGAATGATTTCAAATCCCATGTCTATGGCTCCATAAAGCTACATGTACCGTTTCGTACATTCTAATGGCCCATAATGTACAAGTATCATCTCGTACATCGAAATGGCTCCAAATCCTAGTAACCCTTATAAGAAATGTAAGAAAAGATTTCAAGCTAAAATGGAGATCCTAACCCTATGCCTATGGCTCCATAAACTCACATGTACATGTTCGTACATCCTAATGGCGTACGTGTATCATCTCGTACATTGGAATTGCCCCAAACTGTAGTAACCCATATAAGAGAGATAAAGAATGATTTCAAACCCAAATGGAGGCCCTAACCCCATGCCTATGGTTCCGTAAATAGGACTGCTAGTTAATCGGCCCAACCTGACGAACCGCCCCACCTAATCTTCATTCGGCTGACTCGGGTCGGCTAATCGGTTTAATTGGGTGCATTTCGGCTCTAGCCGACCAACTGATTAGCCTGGACGGTTTGGTTTTGGTTTTAAAAAATGTTATTCGGGCGGCCCCGAATAACCCGATTAATTAATTTTTTATTACATATATATATTCTTTCCTTCTTTTTTTTCCTCCCCATTTTCTCCTTTCCTCCTCCTTCCTTTCTTCGACGGCACCGGCCTTCTCTCCTCCCTTCTTCCTTTTTTCAGATTGACGCCACTGCCCTCGTCCCCTCCCTTCTTCCTTTCTTCCTTCCCTTCTTCCTTTTTTCAGATCGACGCCACCGCCTTCCTCTCCTCCCTTCTTCCTTTCTTCCTTCCTTTCTTTCTTTTTTTCAGATCTACCAACTACCATGGCCCTGCCGCCACCCCTTCCCCTCATTTCTTTCTCCCCCAGCCGCCACCCCCCTTCCCCTCCTTTCTTCCCCATTTCCCTGCCGCCATAAAGAATTGCTCCTTTCTTTCTTCTCCAATCTCCATGTTCTATTTTCTCTCTTTCTTCTCCAATCTCTTGGCCATACTTTAAACCAAGCCAATCTAGATTTAGGGAAAATGAAAGTCAAGCTTGGCACCAGAACTCCAATTCTCATATCTGACCTATTTTGGATTATTTGTTTGATTTTTTTTTTCTTTTTTCATTGAATTTTGTAAGGATAAACTTTGAAATTTTTGTTTTTTGGTAGAGAAAAGTGATGTTTATGAATTATGATGGTGAATTTGTCATTTTTTTTTCTCTAAAATTCTAATTTTGAGCTTTTTTTTTGGACCACGAGGACTGCTATTAGTGTATTCATTGCTGTTGGTTCGAGTGAACCGAAGCCCGAACCGACAAACCCGATCACTTATTCAGTCGATTCGGTTTGGTGCAATTGATTTTTTGGTTCGGTTTTAATCGGGTCTTCTGTGAGAAAAAATTCGATTAAACCGAACCGAACTCACATGAACCACACCGAACCGACCGAATTAGCATACCTATCCGTAAACCCATAGGTAAAGTGCGTACATCCTAACGTACAAGTATCATTTCATACCTCGTAAAGGTTCCAAACCTTAGTAACCCTTATAAGAGTTATAAGGAATGATTTTAAGTCTAAATGGAGGTACCTCCCCAAGCCTATGGCTCCGTACATGTGCAGGGTCGTACATCCTAATGGCCCAAAACGTACAAATATAATCTTGTAAATCCCAAAGGCCCAAAACCTTAATAACCCTTATAGGGGATATAAGGAAATATTTCAAGTCCAAAATTAAGGCCCTAACCACATGCCTATGGCTCCATAAACCAACAAGTACAGTTTCTTATATCCTAATGGTCGATGTACGAAATGAGACTTGTCCGTATGGGCCATTAGGATGCACGAATCCATACGTGTAGGTTAACGGAGCCATATGCATGTGCGTATTCAGTCCAATTGGGATTGAAATCATTCATTACATCCCTTACAAATTTCACTAAGGTTTGCAGCCATTCTGATGTACGAGATGGGACTTATCCATATGGTCTATTAGGATGTTCGAAACCGTAAATGAGCATTTACGGAATCATAGGCATGTGTTTATTCCCTCCACTTGGGCTTGAAATCATTCATAATATTCCTTATTAGTGCTACTAAGATTCGAAGCCATTCCAATGTACCAGATGAGACTTGTCTTTATGCCCCATTAGGATGCTCGAAACCGTACATGTGGGTTTACGGAGCCATAGGAATGTGTTTATTCCCTACGTTTGGGCTCAAAATAATTCATTATACCCCTTATTAGTTTTACCTAGTTTTGAAGCCATTCTAATTTACGAGATGAGACTTGTCCATATGGGGTATTAGGATTCTCGAAGCCGTACATGTGGGTTTACGGAGCCATATGTATGTGTTTATTCCCTCCAATTGGGCTTGAAATAATTCCTTATATCTCTTATAGGTGTTACTAAGGTTTGGAGCCATTTTGAAGTACGAGATGAGACTTGTCCATATCGGCTATTAGGCTGCAGGAAACCGCACATGTGGGTTAACGAAGTCATACACATGTGTTTGTTTACTCCATTTGGGCTTGAAATGATTGTATTCCCTATATGTTTTACCAGGGTTTGGAGCCATTCTGATGGACGAGATGAGACTTGGCCATATAGGCCATTAAGATGCTCGAAACCGTACATGTGGGTTTACAAAGCCATAGGCGTGTTTTTATTCCCTTCTTTCATGCTTGAAATCATTCATTATATCCCTTATATGTCTTACTAAGTTTTGGAGCCATTCGATGTACGAGATGAGACTAGTCCTTATGGGCCATGAGGATGCTCAAAATTGTACATGAGTGTTTATGGAACCATAGCCATGTGTTTATTCCCTCAATTTGGGCTTGAAATTATTCCTTATATCTCTTGTAAGTGTTACTAAGGTTCGGAGCCATTCCAATGTACTAGATTAGACTTGTCCACATGCGCCATTAGGATGCTCGAAACATGTGGGTTTACGGAGCCATAAGAATATGTTTTATTTGCTCCATTTGGGTTCAAAATAATTCATTATATCCCTTATAAGTTTTACCTAGTTTTGAAACTATTCCAATTTACGAGATGAGACGTGTCCATATGGGCCATTAGGATACTCAAAACCTTACATGTGTGTTTACGGAGCCATGCGCATGTGTTTATTCCCTCCATTTAGGCTTGAAATCATTCCTTATATCTCTCATAAGTGTTACTAAGGTTTGGGGCCATTTTGATGTACGAGATAAGACCCATGTCTCTCATAAGTCTAATAATTGTCACAACACATATGCAACAACTAAACAAAGAAATCCTCAAAAGAACTCCACGAAAGGAATAAAATCCTAACCAATTTGATTTCACTCAGGAAAATATCAATGACACCATGTGTGTTGGACAAAAGAAATTCGGTCCCTATTTATAGAGGGGTGGCCGAATTTTCTTCCCAAGAATTAGAGGAAGAACACAACTCTTCATCTCTATTCCTATCTCTAAGAATTTGAAATCAAATCAAACTCTAAAGACTCCTAGTTATCTTAAGTGATAAGATAACGAACCTAGACACTTTTATTAGTCTTAAAACATTTAAGACTATGTAGGAATTCATTAAAACTCAAAATACAAAGAGATAATCTCTTAGAAAGATTCCTTTGGATAGAATTTCCCTTGAGTTAAAACTCTATCATCATCTTCTTTGTAGAGAGATCTTAGCCATCCATCTTGATGTAGTCTTCATCCAATGGTTGAGTAGACATCAAAAGTTGACTCCTTATTGTAGGAAAACTCAAAAATAAGATAAAAGGAATCATCCCAATTATTATCCTTTACAGAGATAAAGTCTTATCTTTCAAAAAGATAAAATTTGAATGATTTCACCCCTAAACTTTACAGATCCATTCGACCTCCTTAGAGAGGGTGGCCGGCGGTCTCTCCTTGGA